TGAGTAATAGTGAGTGACCTGGAAAAAAGTGAGTAAAAGTGAGTCACTGGCAGCCCTGTATGCCCCATCATTTTACATTTGTTTCTGAGCTCTGCAATTTTTTCATCTATAATTTTGTGGGAAAGAATGGTCATCGAAAAACTGATTTTCGGGACCTTTGAAATTGTTTATAACGCGCAGCTGGAAAAATCTCGAGTGGGTAACATACAATACATATGTATATTCATACTACCATCCCACACTATATGTACCTACATGTAAGAAATAATTATACCAAAAAATATAAACAGTATTGTTTATAATGTAATATAAAAACGCCTTATACAGACACGGCAGTAGCTAGGAATTAAAATGAATTGAAAAAAGAATTCCAACGTAAAACTATTTGGTGGCCCTGAAAAGGGCCGATTGTTTTTTTGATGATGGTGAGTGAATTTAACCGCCGAAACCGTAAAGAGTACGGCCTTGACGCTTGAGAGCATAGACGACGTCCATGGCGGTGACGGTCTTCCTCTTGGCGTGTTCGGTGTAAGTGACGGCGTCACGGATCACGTTCTCAAGAAACACTTTCAAGACACCACGGGTCTCTTCGTAAATCAATCCTGAGATACGTTTCACTCCACCACGACGAGCCAAACGACGGATGGCGGGCTTGGTGATGCCTTGGATGTTATCACGCAACACTTTACGATGGCGCTTTGCTCCTCCTTTTCCCAATCCCTTTCCTCCCTTTCCACGACCAGTCATTTTTGCAGAGAATTAAGTAAGTACGTTCAAACAGAACAGAGAACAAACTCGAAATGATGCTTTGCTGTCTAAGGTCGCCGTTTTATTCCCTCCGGAACTCCACTTCTCCCCTCCACGATCTGACAGACCAATCAGGATGTCAGTATCCCCTTCTCCTTGACTAACCGGTGAAAGAGCTTTTGAAGGGTATAAATATGTGTGTTTTTGCCGCCGGAAGCATTATTTTTCAGTTGTCCCTCGTACTCTGAACTTCTAAGCAATGGCTCGTACCAAGCAAACCGCGCGCAAATCCACGGGTGGTAAAGCACCAAGGAAGCAACTCGCCACTAAGGCCGCTCGTAAGAGTGCGCCTGCAACCGGTGGAGTAAAGAAGCCCCATCGCTACAGGCCCGGAACCGTCGCTCTCCGTGAAATCCGTCGTTACCAGAAGAGCACCGAGCTCCTCATCCGCAAACTGCCCTTCCAACGTTTAGTCCGTGAAATCGCTCAGGACTTCAAGACCGACCTGCGCTTCCAGAGCTCCGCCGTTATGGCCCTCCAGGAGGCCAGCGAGGCCTACCTCGTCGGTCTCTTCGAAGACACCAACTTGTGCGCCATCCACGCCAAGAGAGTCACCATCATGCCAAAAGACATCCAGTTGGCCCGTCGTATCCGAGGAGAACGCGCTTAAATTTCCTTGCCACTCTCAAAACACAATCGGCCCTTTTCAGGGCCAACAAATTTTCTTACGTTGAAATATTTTTAATTCTTATATACAAACATATATTTTACTACTATTTTATAAACGCTTTTTTGTATCAATTAAAAACCTGTTTTTAATCAAAATTTTGTAGAAGTAAATCATACTGCATAATTATGTTAAATTTTCAATAATACATTCAATGCAATATATCAAATATAACAGAGAGAAAACCTAGAAGTGAATAATTATTCGTTATTTGATTATTATAAATATTACTATTTAAATCACTGACTCTTCACTATTTCAAATTTAGAAAATATAGACAAATGACATAAAAATTTTTATTTATAACACTTATGCAGGTAGTGCCCATTCGTACATAAAGTACTAAAAGATTAGGTATAATGAAAATAAGTTTATAAATATGTTAAAAAATCGCAATCGAAAATTTTGCTAAAATACAATTCTTCCTCTATGAGGAAGCAATAACAGAGGACAAAATAAATATTTAATTGAATTATGGAATTAGAAAAGGAAAAATAAACCCTTTCGAATAATGGCACAAATTAATACATTCATTTATTTAATAGAAGTCAAGTAAAGGGCCAAGATAATAATTTACATTCTACAATTCACTATAAATCATGACGTCATGATCGATATAAATTTACATTATCACTAACACACAACACACGAAATCATATAATTACATAAAATCATAAAATAATGACATTATAAAATATAAAAATAATTTGATAAAAGTTTAGTTATCATTCATTTCCTTATATTATTTAATCGAGAATATCTTACGTATTAATTTGTCTGTTTGTCGCTTATTCCTCTATTGCATTTTTCATCAAAAAAGGCTCAGTGGCGGGAACATTGCTTCGACATCGTCATAAGGTCCAAATATATGCGTGATAATTGAAGGATTTGTTAATTAAAATACATCTCTTTCATCCTTATGCTGAATTGATGTTTTGATGAATTTCCTTATGAGAAATATCCTTCCATTTAGACGCAATTGTTCAATGAAATGTGACGCAAATTACATCAAGGCCAATAGACGGATATCGTTTCACCATATATAAATTCGCACACAAGTTACATGTCGAAAAAAAATGCTTTTTCTTACGGAAGACGACGACATTTTTTAGGAAACCGCATAAGAATTCGTCAAAGTACGTCAAAATTCGTAGCATCTTCTTATATTACACACATGTAAATATAAACTTCGCTCATACACCGAAACCAATATTTGCGATATTTTTATCGCTACAATTTTTAGTTTGCAATTTAAACAAATTTGCATACAAAAAGTTTTTATTTCTATTCCTTAGTATAATTATTTACTTTCTAAATTTGCGTAACGTAACGTAATTTTACATTGTAAATAACGTTCGAAAATATATTACCAATCCTAAACGTAAATTCATACGGGCCATAATTATTTTAAACATAAATTTTATTCTTTTACAATTTCATAGTTATTATTATTATTAAACATTCAATTAATAAATGTAAGGTTTTTATTTGTTTTTAATTGCACACAGTATAAAAACTAAAAAAAAACTTCCAACTTTTTTCAAGCATAATACAGGTATACAAGAAAGTAAAAAAATGATAATACTGCGTTAAACGGCAATGAAATATATATTTGACTGTTTTCAAATCCATCATTCAAAGTAAATTTCTATGACACAATAAAATATTCAAATAATTTATTAAATTAGATATAAATAATGTTGAAAAAATTGTTAAAAACTTTTTATTATTGATCTAGACAATGCACACTATGCGTCTGCATTTTGTGCCGAAAGTAAGAACTCATACACAAACTGCAGGAACCGTACCTCCTTCAATTTATAATTCAAAGTAAAATAACTTTTCTATCCAGAAAGGGAGATAAATAGAGCATTAAATTTCAAGGCCAATTTTTAAACAAATCAATTTGTTCACTTGTTTTTTATAATTTTCTGAACTTGTTAAGAATGATCACTAAAAGCAGAGTCTTGAAAATTGCTCATTTTTAACGAAAAACCCAATGACAGTGTAATGCTTTTCCTAATATTAGAAAACTAGAATAATCGCATAATTGAAATTCAATCTATTTGCAAGTGGAGAAGAATAATTAAAGATCAAAAAGGTGAATAAAATTTTGTATGGTGTACCCAAGTTACCGAGAATTAAAACGGTAGAAAGCCAACGATCGCTGGGGCCTTTCTTCACCGTCCGTGCGTTTTACTATGTCGATGAGCGCAGGAAAATGTGTTTATAACTGTTTGAACGCTTGAGTTGAAAGCATCTCCAAGTTATTGAACATTTTTTGTAGTTTTTCGAAAACCACTTTAGTAAAATGGCAGACAAGGTAGAATCCCCAGCTGTACCTGCAGTGGCAACTCCGAAGAAAGCAGCCAAGGCGCAGAAGCCCCGCGCCAAGGCCAGTCACCCGCCAGCGTCGGAGATGGTGAACGCGGCCATCGCCACTTTGAAGGAGAGAGGCGGCTCTTCGCTCCAAGCCATCAAGAAGTACATCGCCGCCACCTACAAAGTCGATGTCGAGAAGCAGGCTCCCTTCATCAGAAAGTACCTGAAGGCTGCAGTCGCCAGCAAGGCTCTGATCCAGACCAAGGGCAAGGGCGCTGCAGGGTCCTTCAAGTTGAACGTCGCCAAGGCCGAGGGCAAGGCCAAAGCCAAGCCCAAGACCAAGACTGCCGCCAAACCCAAAGCTGCTGCAGCACCAAAGGCCAAGAAAGCAGCTTCTCCGAAGAAGGCCGTGGCAGCCAAGACCAAGAAAGCCGTCGCCGAGAAGAAGAAGACCCCGAAGGTTGCGGCCAAGCCACCGAAGGCCAAGTCCACCACCGCCAAACCCAAGGTGACCAAGGCTGCTCCCAAGAAGGCGGCCAAAGCTTCGCCCAAGAAGGCTGCGGCACCCAAAGCGAAGAAGCCCGCGGCAAAGAGGGTTGCCAAGAAGTAAAGTGAAATAAAATTGATAGTGGAAGATTGAAAACAAACGGCCCTTTTCAGGGCCACCAATTACTTTTTACGAAAGAATTTTCTTTGTCTCAAATATAAGTATTTAGAATAGTAGTCAAGTCGAAAATAATTCATAGCTCTTGCGAATAGGCTTATTTTTACAAAAGCTTAAAATTAAAATCTATATAACAAATTTCAATTTACTTCTTATATTTATCAAAATTTTAAAAAAGTACTGCAATGGTCAATTCCACCTTACCTTTCAGTATACATTTTAAATTAGGATGGAAATATTTTTACTGACATTAAAATATGTTAATATCATTTTTTCAGAAAATATCCATGAATTTTTGCTAATTCGTTAAAATCTGTAAAAAATAATTTTAAAAAGTAGGTACTACAGAAATTCCGAAAATAACTATTTTTAACACATACGTTATTTATGGTATTTTCGACGCTGAATCCAAATTTTAAAAATTCAGAAACCAAAATCCAATATGGCTGCTCAAAACTAGACTTTTTTGAAGGATACTTTTATTACATTAAATCTCAGGCACTATACATTATCTTATCAAAAAAATGTCTCACACAATTATATTAAACTGTTTTCGAGGTCGCTGATTACGAATAAGGTAAATAAATGTACACAATTACGGCCTAGTACGTTATTACGTGCTATTTCCACCATTTTTTATATCGAAAAATAAAATAATTGAAATTTTGTAAAATTTAATTAAAAACAATTATTTTTTTCAAGTATTTTGTTACAATTTTTGATGTATTTTCCAAATAATTAAATTATTATTAATATTAGTTGTCCTTTAAATATTAATGTAAAGAACATAGAATTCAAACGTAAAAATATTTGGTGGCCCTGAAAAGGGCCGATTGTTTGAAAGGTGGGTAGAAAATTTAAGCTTTCTTTTCGGTTTTCTTGGGCAAAAGAACAGCTTGGATGTTGGGGAGAACACCACCCTGGGCGATGGTGACTCCAGAGAGAAGCTTGTTCAATTCCTCGTCGTTCCTGATGGCGAGTTGGAGATGACGGGGGATGATTCTCGACTTCTTGTTGTCACGAGCTGCGTTTCCGGCCAACTCCAAGACTTCGGCAGCCAAGTATTCCATAACTGCGGCTAGGTAAACTGGAGCACCTGCACCCACACGCTCGGCGTAGTTTCCTTTGCGCAAAAGCCGATGGATACGACCGACTGGGAACTGGAGTCCAGCCCGGTTGGAGCGGGTCTTTGACTTTCCCTTGGTTTTGCCACCTTTGCCACGTCCTGACATTTTTGATTTAGTTTTGAATTAACGAAGTAAACACAACGAAGAATACAAAGCGAATGATGTTCTGCGCCTGAAATCCGCCTATTTACGCTCTCTCCACAGGTCACGCCCACAACTTGCGCTCCCCTCTCTTTGTCGTGAGTGGCAGATGGTTGCAGTGAGTCCCCGCACCAATCAAAATGTAGGAGCACAACTGTAAGAGAACGTAAATAGGGCAGTTTCCGCTGCTTAACGTCAATTCGCTTTGTGTTCTCTTCGAGTTCAGACGTACTTTTCTCTGAAAACTAACCATGCCTCCTAAAGCCAGTGGTAAAGCCGTGAAGAAAGCCGGCAAGGCTCAAAAGAACATTACCAAGACCGACAAGAAGAAGAAGCGCAAGAGGAAGGAGAGCTATGCCATCTACATCTACAAAGTGTTGAAGCAAGTGCACCCCGACACTGGAGTCTCCAGCAAGGCCATGAGCATCATGAATTCGTTCGTGAACGACATCTTCGAGCGCATCGCTGCCGAATCCTCCCGCTTGGCCCACTACAACAAGAGGTCCACCATCACCTCCCGGGAGATCCAAACTGCCGTCAGGCTTCTCCTTCCTGGTGAACTCGCCAAGCACGCCGTCTCTGAAGGCACCAAGGCTGTCACCAAGTACACCAGCTCCAAGTAAATCTTGACCACCATTCTCAAAAAACAATCGGCCCTTTTCAGGGCCAACAATTATTTTTACGAAAGAATTATTTAGTTCTAAACAATTATTACTGAAAATTTTTTTACTGACAGAATTTAGATATTTGTGTGTAGTATGTAGAACTAACTTTCATGAAGTCACTTGTAGAAATTGAGTATATAATAGTATCTAGTTCAAGAAATTTTTTTTATATTAAAATATAGAAACAGTGTATTTATGAATATATACCTGCTGACAATAAAGAGCTTTTTTACGTTGATTAAAACCTTAGTTTTGTCTAAAAAGTAAATGCTAATTTGATATAATAAAATAATGCGAGTAAACGAATTGCAATAGACTATATATGTGGACGTCCACATGAAAAGGGCCCATTATGGCACTATTGGAGTTATCTATATGGGCGTATTCCTGGCAAAATTTGGAAAATTTTGAGTGGTCTAAGAACTTTTTTGGTTAAAAATTCGCTGAGTTTCAAAGTTTAGAACGCCAAAAACGTCATTTCGAGAAAAACGGAATTAAAGATTGCGATACCAACTAATTGTTGTATCTCTGGTTCTTCTTGGAAGTTATTCAGATAATAATTGTTTGCAGTTCAGGGAACTTTTAAGATAAAAAACCAATAGGTTTTTAATTTTTGAAACCATTCCCCCCTCCCCTCTTGCTTTTGAAAATTCGAGCAATCGACAATATGGGCCCTTTTCTAAAAAGGACAGTTTTTCTATTAAGAAACCATTTTTTTAAAAGATTAATGATTAGGTACAATTTTATTGTGTCATTTGAAGAAAAAGAATAGATATTAAAATTATTTAAAATTTTTTGACAGTCTCTATTAGGAAAAAATTGACGCAATATCCAAATTTTCATTTCGACAATTACGAAAAAAAGACTCTAACATCAATATCTCTGGTTCTTCTATAGAAGTTATTCAGATAAGAATTGTTTACAGTCCAGGACACCTTAAAGATGAAAAATCAAGAGGTTTGAAACTTTTCCACACCTCCATTTTTAAAATACGGATTACTTTTGCAAATGACCGACAAAATGGGCCCTTTTCATTTTTCTAAAGAACCAATGAAATCAAACAGTTAAATTATCGATTGATAATAAAAAATAAAAAAAAATTAAGATTTTGCACCAAAATTACTAAATTGCGATTATCTCGAAAACTAGAACCGACAATATGGGCCCTTTTCATGTGGACGTCCACATATGTAGGTAAATATAATTTTATTGGATAAAGTTTTTAATTTAAAAAAAAGTCAACCCATCCAAGTACTAACCGCGCTCAATGTCGCTTAACTTTGGTGATCGGACGAGATTTTTTTTGTAATAATTACTTTTTATTGTAACAAGTATATAATACATAGTAATCAACGAACAAGCAACAAGAAATCGTCGAGCAATTAGTAACAATAAATTGGTCCATCGACAGCATACAAGCTGTACTCGTAGACGCGACAATAATAACGAAAAGTACATGATCAGAGCATAACCCATTCAATTAGGAAATTGTTGAAATTGCAATAATTTTTTTTACATCGTCAATATTTTGTTTAAAAGGTGCTGATAGAAATGAATGATAGCTTTCGCAGTGTACTCATTCTTTTTGATCTAATAAACATTTCAATATTTAGTTTTATACCCTGCTTTTATCACATCTGGTGTAATTAGACAAAAGCACGATTTTTTAGAAGACATGGTTTAAATTCCAGCTAACTACCGTAAACTGGAGGTAGGTAAACCTACAAGTACCACTTTCACAAAAAAATTTTTTTTTTATACCAGAATTAAGAACTAATTTAGTGCTAATTTAGTACCATATTTAAAAATTTAGAGCTGCTAAACTTTTTAAAAAAACGTATGGTACTGCCAGCTTGACGTATAGCTACAAGTACCATACCCTAAAAAATAACAATTTTTAAAAAACTTTTCCACAGGAATTTAGAACTAATTTAGTGCTCTAACATAGCATTAAAAAGAATTTTCCAAAAACTACCCTTAATCTCAAAAACTACCTAACGAAAAAAAAATATTTTTTCAAAATTTTTTTCACAAAAATTTAGAACTAATTTAGTGCTCTCACATAGAATTAAAAGGATTATTTTATAAAAACTACCCTTAACCTCAAAAACTACCTAATAAAAATTAAGAAACAAATTTAAAAAAAAAATTTTTCGATAGAATTTTAAAGCTAATAAAGTTTTCAAACTTAGTACTGAAAGATGTTTTCCAAAAACTAATTTTAACCTGAGCTAATTTAGTGCTCAAACAATGCACAAGAAAAATTTTCCACAAAACTACCTTTTACCTCAAAAACTACAAGAAAACAAAGACATAATTATTTCTTAAAAATTTTTTCAGAGCAATTTAGAGATAATTTTGTGCTCAAGAATAGAAATTAAAAGTAATTCACAAAAACTACCTTTTACCTCAAAAACTATCTACAGGAATTTAAAAGGCACATATTTTCAAAATTCTATTTATAGGATTTTAGAACCAAATTAGTGCTCTAATATAGCATTAAAAAGAATTTTCCAAAAACTACCCTTAATCTCAAAACTACCTAACGAAAAAAAAATATTTTTTCAAAATTTTTTTCACAGAAATTTAGAACTAATTTAGTGCTCCCACATAGAATTAAAAGGAGTATTTTACAAAAACTACCCTTAACCTCAAAAACTACCTAGCAAACATAAAAATGTATATTTTTTCAAAACTTTTTTCAATTGAATTTAGAGCTAATTTAGTGCTCTAACAGAGCATTAAAAAGAATTTTCTAAAAAATACTCCTAACCTAAAAAAGTAGACAAAGGAAATAAAAAGGCATTTTTTAAAATTCTTTTTTCACAACAATTTAGAACTAATTAAGTGCTAATTTACTACCATATATAAAAATTTAGAGCTGTTAAACTTCTTAAGGAAATGTATAGTACTACATATGCTTGACGTATAGCTCCAAGTACCATACCCTAAAAAATAACAATTTTTAAAAAACTTTTCCACAGGAATTTAGAACTAATTTAGTGCTTATCTAGTACGATATATAAAAAATTAGAGCTGTTAAATTTTTTAAGAAAACGTATGGTACTACATATGCTTGACGTATAGCTACAAGTACCATACCTTAAAAAATAACAATTTTTAAAAAACTTTTCCACAGGAATTTAGATTTAATTTTGTGCTAATTTAGTACCATATATAAAAATTTAGAGCTGTTAAACATCTTAAGAAAATGTATGGTACTACAGGCTTGACGTATATAGCTATAAGTTCCTTATGAAACTGAAGTTACCAACGTTTGTTCGACGAAAAATATAATACGTAACAATTTCCCCGCCTCAGATTCAATTTTTTTCCACATTTATTATAGATACTAATATTAGAAGCCATTAGAAATTATTTTCAAGTGGAACCAGGTCGGGGAGGGCAACGATTTTGATCTTTTGTTATGGATTTTCCGAAAAATCCGCGACAAAAATCAAAATCATTGCCTTCGAAATTTCTGAATTTTCGAAAAATCTGTGACAAAAAAAAGTCAAAATCGTTGCCCTCCCCGACCTGGTTCCACTTGAAAATAATTTCTAATGGCTTCTAACATTAGTATTTATAATAAAAGTGAAAAAAATTGGATCTGAGGCGGGGAAATAGAAATTGTTACGTATTATATTTTTCGTCGAGCAAAAGTTGGTAACTTCAGTTTCATAGTTCCTTACACTAAAAAGTAAGAATTTTTAAAAATCTTTTTCACCGGAATTGAGAATTAATTTAGTGCTCTAACATAGCATTAAGAAGAATTTTCCAAAAACTATCATCAACCTCAAAAACTACCTACCTACAGAAAATAAAAAGGCAAAATTTTTAAAAAAAATTTCTTATGAATTTATAGCTAATTTAGTGCTCTAGAATGGCATTTAATAGATTTTTACAAAAAGCTGCATTTAATCTCAAACCTATAAAAATTGTACTACATTTTAGTCTAAAAGAACTCATGTATTAGTGAGAGTCTACTAACTTTATTGTAAAATACTTAGGGGAGAGGTACGCACGTTGAGACGGGTTCTGTTTTTCAGTTATAATTTTTAAAAAACAAAATTTAGCGAAAAATTCGAAATGCTTTCTTAAAAGTATTGTCCAGGGCTACAACATTACCAAAGAAAGTTATTTTTTTTGGACAAAATTGAAAAATTTATAGCTGATTTTTTAAACATGTTATTTTTGACCAAAAAAAAATTGGTACGCACGTTGAGACACCCATAATAATTTATTTTAAATTGAAACAAAATGAATAATTACGTCAGATTCTAATTGTTTGTTGTTTATTTACTTATTTTGATGGTCTTAACTCAAAGAAAAAAAATTAAAACATTAAAAATTAACTTAAAAAAATAAA